CCAATTATATTATTATTCAACCCATAATGAAGAAAATTATACATCTAGTGATTAGTTGGCTGAAAACAAAGACCTAACCATTTCCTACTAAAAGATATTTAATGAAAATAATTGAAATTGCTAGTTTCAATTTAAATTAGATTCCTGACCGTTACTTTTAAATTATGTAGTTTTTTCCAGTATGTATAAAGTAGTTCAACATGAGAGAATGTCTAAAATTAAATTAATATCTGTGTACAAGCAGTAACACTTCAAAAGTCTGAAGATGGTTGAATAAACCGAAACGTTATAAACCGCCACCATGGAAAAAACTACATAATTGCTAGTTTTATTATATTACCTTTGCGTAAAGGGTTGAGTAATAATTTTTAAAATGTTTTTCCCTTGATGTAAAATATTTTTTAACTGTTATTTTTAAACTCTGTGGAATGAAAATTAGATTTGTCAATCATAACTCAACCTGTTGCTCATTAGGCGAAAATTATGTATTTCTATACTCCCTCCTTTCCAAAAGATCTCTACTCAAACATAAAATAAAATGAATCAACAAGTACCTACATATTTGAATTCTTTTACTTGGAAATAAAAAATAATGTATCCTAAAACGGATAATCTGCTTATCTCAATTAATTTACGATGCAAAGCAAGGCAATTTTCTTCTTTTTCAACATGCATAAGTAATTCGGTGATATGAGTTCCATCATAAAATACTTCCGAGGTTAATCACCTTGTGTTTACATATTTTTTTTACGGTTCCCATTAAAGTATATACCCATACAGCTTGGGGAAACCCGAAAGAGCGCCTTTAGTACATCACTGCACGAAATTTCCGAATTTAATTTAAATTTAGCACCAAAAGTCAACGCGGCATAATACTCCTTTTAGTATATTATATCCATGTGTCTTTTAACGTATGTAAAAACTGTGTAGGTATGTGATTCTAGATGATTTACGTCAGCAAACAATTTAACTTAAAGCAAATGTTTTCTTTTGGTATTCGCTGTTGGACTACCGCGAATCGATTCTTCTTTTCGTTTTGTTTCACGGTTCTCATGAGTGGAATTATTATGAAGGAAAGAATAACCGCTAATCGTAAACGAAATAACATGCATTATGTACACATTTTTTTTCTCTCTTCTTGACACGTATATTACACCAATCGAATGAAGAATGAATTTCAATTAGTTCAAGACTATTATAAAATAGAAGAGACTGGACTAGTGCCAGTACAATTTTCACACCCAGGATTTTTGTACATTATCACATCAGAAAATTACGATTTTTTTAATTGACCGTATTAACATAAGCAACTCCGTTTTATCAATAAGCACAGATAATGAGAAGAAAGTAATAATAATTAGCAAAGTTATTATTTAATGTTTAGTATTTTTAGCCCCTGTACGGGTGCGAAACACAGGCGGTGGGCGCGGCGGAAAAGGAAAGGTTGGAAGCGTTCGAAATGTGGTGTTACAGGCGAATGATGAGGACACCGTGGATTATAGACAAGGCTAGATATGAAGAGGTAATACAAAGAATACAACACCAGAGGACTCTACGGAAGAAAAATAAGAAATAGGCGAGATAGGTTGGTAGGACACCTTCTCGGGCATGAAGGTCTAGTCAGAGACATATTAGAAGCATAAACAGGAGTTAAGAGAAGTACAGGTAGACGTAGATTAGATTACTGTTCCTGTTCTGGTTATAAGGAAGATTAGCTCAGGATAGTAAAGAGTGGAGGTGCGTGTACAACCAGTCTTAGGACTGACGACCTTTTGATCATGATACTAATATTATAATGAGGTAAATTTAAAAAAAAATTGGATGTAGGAGATAATCTCCGAAACTGTTTCGATTTGGAAATATTGTTGCCCAAAATTTAGAATGGTTCTTTAGGACAGACTGAATTCCATTACAATAAAAGGACTTTACGTGGAGGTCAACTTCAATTCTGCAAGGTAAGTCTACGAAAAAACGGTCCGAATGGTACCTTAATGACAGTAAATATATGAATGCTTTCTATACCAAAAGTGTAAAGCTTAAAAAGGGCTGTAAGGAAGTCTGGGATGATATAGGTATGTTAAGGTTAATTCAGAAACTGATATAATATGACTGATGTAGTCATAAACTGAATTCGAAGCGGGCAAAACCGCAGGCACTTTTAACAGCACTTATTGTAAATAAAAAGAAAAATTGAGGATTTTTTTGTCATAAACACAAACGGATTTCATATACCTAATACTTGAGTTTGGAAAATGCCTTAGAAAAATTGGTTTAAGACTATTCTTTCACTTTTTCATTTTTAAAATTTTGATAAAACTCATTTTTTGTTGGCTAAAGTGTAAAAAGTTCATTTTATGTCTTTTTTATTTCATTCTCATTCTATTGTACCTCTAAGGTACATACAACGTTTCGGTCACGATTATTAACCCTTTTGAATGTATTCATAATAAAAAAAAATGCTTAACATTAGCAAAAACCTTTATGAAAAGTATTGGAAAACTTTTCCTACATTATTTAAATAAAAAGTAATACGGTAAATAGATAAAAAAAATAGTTATACGCCATACATTGAAATTAGAAGCGCATTAAAAAAAGAAAAACTATCATTAAGTCATTACATTTTTCCAATTATTAGGTAGTTACATTATCTGCACATTTAATAAAACAATTTGTAATCGGTGCTATACCAATGTGTCGTCTTCATTTACAATTGGAACATATTGATTCTATGAAGAAGATCTAAAGGCATTTTCGACAACGTCAAGGTAGCGGTAACATTGATTTTGAAAACATACCACGCATTCATCATTTAACTGCATTTTGCATTTTGGGTCACCACTGATATGCTACAGCCTTTGAGGTTTTAAAGTACAAATAAAAGAAGCTTTTCTTTGCTATTTTTCACGTTTAAACTTTGCAAGTTCGCTATGATTGAAAAACTAACGAAGATTTTCGAAGAGACATCAACAGTGCGCTAAGCGACGAACCTCCTCCGATTCACTGTTCGGAATTGAAAACTTATTCTCTCGTAGGCTAGCATTCATTTTATTTTAAAATTATGACACTCTAAATCCTAATAGGTATAAAAAATTAAATTATTACGGGATTACAAGGGAATGTGGATATAAAGGAAAGTGTTAAAGTGTAAGATAGTAGAATTAAACGCATAGAAAGGACGTTGAAAAGAAATACGAAGCTTGAGAGGAAGTCAAAAATTTTATTGATTCAAAAGTTTGCTTGATTTTTGTAAAAAATAACTTAAGCTCCTTGTAAATACTATATGTGTATATATAAAAACACTAAGATAGACATGTAAAATAGAACGGCTAAATAGAAATTTCAAAAGATATGCAAAATGTTTAATAAAATTATATCNTTGATTATAAACCGTATCAAGATTTTAGCAAAGTGTAATAGTCCTTTTATTATTTCCTTAAGGATCCTTCGTGTGTTTTTACTTTAGCAAGGAGTACCAACGTATTATACTTTAGTTTTAAATTACTTTATTTTATTATCTGTTTTTCTGATAAATAACTATTTCTGCTTTCAAAAAAACTTAATACCTATTATTTTGAATTGGGTGCAAACCAAAACTTCAAGCACTTAATTTGAAATTCGTTTTACACACTAACAAAAAATGACTTTAATGAAACGATAGTTATTAATAAAAGTTGTCACTGTGTCTGTGCTAAAAGCATTCACACTGGTTAACATTCATTTCACGAACAAGAAAAGAAATGTAATTGTTCAATTCTTTAATACTTACCACGGTCGTCTTCATGGTGAACTCGCGAAGGAACGTTGGTTTGTAGTTAGTTCTTGAATCAGCACTGAATTAAACCGGACTTTGTGTGAAGATGATTTTTGATCAGTCAGGGTTTATATTCCCGCTACCTCACAACCTCACCACCCCGTCAGAGTTCATTCCCCACCATTAACAAAGCGCAGAAAATTGCACCAAATAATTTCAAACTCACCTGCCGACTGAACTCTGACGGTGGGAACTTCTTGAGCGCCAACATAGCCGGCGTGATTTCGACAAATAATAAAAGAAACACCGCGAGTCTATCGTGTGGTGTTCACGCCTACATGGAACAATTAACTTTTGCTCAAACAAAAAATTTCGAGAGAAAATAAAAAAATTAAAAATCATCGCGCCAAATAACCTTCAGTTCGTTAGCACGAGAATGAGATGATTCTTATTATTTGAAGTTTTACGAACCAAGCAAAGATAAAACTTGAGTAAAAATACAAAGTGTTTGTGTATATCTAGTGTGAGTAATAATTCTAGACCTAAAGTTCGAAAAAAAAACTTTATTCGTTCATAAACGAGTGTTAGTAAGATGGAATCGCTTTTTCATAGCCGATTGTAGTTTATAAACTGAAAGCTTTTCACAGAAATTACCATATACCTATGTAATAAGTTGTACCGTAGGTTTGTATCTGTGTATAACCATCATGGACAAAAACACAGTTAAGAATAATTTGTTCTGTAGTTTTTACCATCTAATATAATACGTTAAATTGATCGTACTGTATGTAGTTATAAATTCTTGAAGTTTTTATATTTTCATTAGCCTAAATGTAAATAGAATTTTAAAAGTAAAAACTGCGGGCTACAGTTTAAAGCAATTGATCTTAGCAAATACATTTCTGAGAAAATTGCAATAAAACAACAGGAATTCTTACTTTATCACAACTAAAGTGTTAGTTTAAACAAATAAAGAACTTAAATTGCAGCTTCTTCTGTAATTATTGGTTAAACCGTAATAGAAACTGTTTACGTTGTAATTAGAGCCAATTGAAAATTACAAGATCTCAAATTGACTTTTTTGCTAGATTAAATGTATTACAATTGTACAGTTAAGAAAAAATANTTAATGAAATGATAGTTATTAATAAAAGTTGTCACTATGTCTGTGCTAAAAGCATTCACACTGGTTAACATTCATTTCACGAACAAGAAAAGAAATGTAATTGTTCAATTCTTTAATACTTACCACGGTCGTCTTCATGGTGAACTCGCGAAGGAACGTTGGTTTGTAGTTAGTTCTTGAATCAGCACTGAATTAAACCGGACTTTGTGTGAAGATGATTTTTGATCAGTCAGGGTTTATATTCCCGCTACCTCACAACCTCACCACCCCGTCAGAGTTCATTCCCCACCATTAACAAAGCGCAGAAAATTGCACCAAATAATTTCAAACTCACCTGCCGACTGAACTCTGACGGTGGGAACTTCTTGAGCGCCAACATAGCCGGCGTGATTTCGACAAATAATAAAAGAAACACCGCGAGTCTATCGTGTGGTGTTCACGCCTACATGGAACAATTAACTTTTGCTTAAACAAAAAATTTCGAGAGAAAATAAAAAAATTAAAAATCATCGCGCCAAATAACCTTCAGTTCGTTAGCACGAGAATGAGATGATTCTTATTATTTGAAGTTTTACGAACCAAGCAAAGATAAAACTTGAGTTAAAATACAAAGTGTTTGTGTATATCTAGTGTGAGTAATAATTCTAGACCTAAAGTTCGAAAAAAAAACTTTATTCGTTCATAAACGAGTGTTAGTAAGATGGAATCGCTTTTTCATAGCCGATTGTAGTTTATAAACTGAAAGCTTTTCACAGAAATTACCATATACCTATGTAATAAGTTGTACCGTAGGTTTGTATCTGTGTATAACCATCATGGACAAAAACACAGTTAAGAATAATTTGTTCTGTAGTTTTTACCATCTAATATAATACGTTAAATTGATCGTACTGTATGTAGTTATAAATTCTTGAAGTTTTTATATTTTCATTAGCCTAAATGTAAATAGAATTTTAAAAGTAAAAACTGCGGGCTACAGTTTAAAGCAATTGATCTTAGCAAATACATTTCTGAGAAAATTGCAATAAAACAACAGGAATTCTTACTTTATCACAACTAAAGTGTTAGTTTAAACAAATAAAGAACTTAAATTGCAGCTTCTTCTGTAATTATTGGTTAAACCGTAATAGAAACTGTTTACGTTGTAATTAGAGCCAATTGAAAATTACAAGATCTCAAATTGACTTTTTTGCTAGATTAAATGTATTACAATTGTACAGTTAAGAAAAAATAAATGGTAAAACAACACAGTAAGTATTTGAAATAATTTAAAATTTACAAATAAAATATGTAGACAGTTTTAAAAATGTGCAATGAATTATATATATTAATTTCAATAGGTAATTTTAAATGCATTTTGGGTCACCAGCGATATGCTATAGCCTTTGAGGTTTTAAAGTACAAATAAAAGAAACTTTTGTTTGCTATTTTTCGGGTTTAAACTTTGCAGATTCGTTATTATTGAGAAAGTAACGGCGATTTTCTAAGAGACATCAACAGTGCGCTAAGCGACGAACCTCCTCCGATTCACTGTTCGGAATTGAAAACTTATTCTCTCGTAGGCTAGCATTCATTTTATTTTAAAATTATGACACTCTAAATCCTAATAGGTATAAAAAATTAAATTATTACGGGATTACAAGGGAATGTGGATATAAAGGAAAGTGTTAAAGTGTAAGATAGTAGAATTAAACGCATAGAAAGGACGTTGAAAAGAAATACGAAGCTTGAGAGGAAGTCAAAAATTTTATTGATTCAAAAGTTTGCTTGATTTTTGTAAAAAATAACTTAAGCTCCTTGTAAATACTATATGTGTATATATAAAAACACTAAGATAGACATGTAAAATAGAACGGCTAAATAGAAATTTCAAAAGATATGCAAAATGTTTAATAAAATTATATCGAGTATATAATCTAGAAACTTTGTCTAGTGCTTTTTGTGAAATACGTTGAATAAAAATTTGTGGAGTGTTTTTGAATTTTATAACAAAGCAAATTAAATAAATTAGAAATTTGTACATATAGCTGAAGATTCAGATTGCAGTAAGAAGGATATTGTGTCTTGAAATAAATTCATTTCTAAAATTACAAGAAAAACAATCCTCAAAATTTGAATGAAAAACAATATAGGTATCTGTTAGTCGAATTAAAAGTTGATAATGAAACATATTTCACAATCATGTCATTCTAATTTTAGAATTTTTTAGATTCAAAATTGGTAGATCCTTTCAAGTATTTTTTATTGTAATATTCTACCAAACGTTTAGTCAGGTCACTAGTATTTTTTTTAATTAATTACATTCATTTGTCTTTCTAAGAACATGAATTGTAAATAATCTTTAAATGGAAAGGTAAAATTAGTAAATAAATTAAATTACCATTAAAGTGAATAAGATATTGATGAGTGAATTCTCAACAGGAAATTTTATGTAAATTTTTAATAATCGTTGGTTTTCTGTTTTTATACTGAAACCCATTTATCATACATTAGATTATTGATCATTATTCCTTTCGCGTAAAAATTGTTAAAATTTTAAAATATACCTTATANAAATAAAAATAAATAAGATTATGAAAACTTAGACGAGAAGTTTTTGATAGGTTGACAAATGTTATATTGAAAAAACTCTAAGTACATTAGGAAAAATCTTCACGAGTATTTAACTGAATAAGTACTTAATGAGGCGAAATTTGTATACGTACAGTTTTTTAAATAAAACATTTCTGAACCTATATAAGAATTTTTCTCATCTGCGTTTTCATCTAAATTACAATAATTAATATGATTACATAGAGTTTTCACGTCTTCATTATTTATATTTTAAAAATTATCTCGACATAATTTAAGATGTGTTAGGCGCCGTATTGTACAGGGTGTTTATTTCAAAATTGCAGTACCTACTAAGAATCATAGAAAGAAACAAAATATAATCATTTTAAATTGAAATTAATTTTTAACGTGAAATATGCTCTTCAGTTAAGGTACATAAATGAACAATATGAGAATTTTATAAAAAATTGGTTTTCTTTACTTTTATAATTCTATCTTTTGCAAGAGATTATACAACCCTTCATGATCTAGTGCATATCATGTGCATACCTTATGTTGTGTCAAACTTGTCAACCTATGTTGGTAATGGTAACTGTCAGTGTCAGCTTTATAAAATGTGTTGAAAGTAGATGCTTGTGTATTGATTATAATTTAAGTGTAGTGCGCAGTTTATAAAATTAATATTCAAATTTTAAATAAATTAGTATCTATGTAATCTAATGTAGTAATACATGTCGTCCACAATTCTTCCAGTTTTGACGACTAAAAAACATTTCCACATCCACAAATGCATAACCTTCTTTGCACTTGACGTTTATGGAATAATAGGATAAGTTTCATAATTACAATGTTTATTTCCAATATATTAATGCATATCAGAAAATTATGTTGCATCCTGAATGATATTTAAAATTATCAATTTGGGCAACATACTCTGATGCACAAACAAGGCTTTTAAAATGGGAGGATCTGTGAGTCAAGTGTTTCAATCAGGAAGTGCGTTGTTATCAACGGGGCATGGTCATAAAGTCACAGAATCGACTAAACAAAAAATTCAGACTGTATTTGATGCCCTCAGAGCCAATCCAAAAATCAGTGTTCAGAGATTAGAGGGCCTATTTCAGCAAATTCCAAAGGTAAGTAGCATTGTCACCAGTATTTGGTGCTACAAGTAAAATGAAAACTTTTAGAATGAGAACATTCTGACAGTTCATAATGATTCAGGGTATAATTTGTTGCAAATATGTGTAGGAGCAAATAATGTTGAATTAGTTAGATGGCTTTTACAAAGACATAATGCAAATGATATAAACAGATGTCCTTGTAGCCTTCCATTACATATAGCATGCCTTAAAGGGTAACACAATCTGTAAAATATAGTACTACCTTTGTTTTAATATGGATTATTTGTAGTTATGACGAATGTGTCGAACTATTACTAAAACATGGGGCCAAGGTTGATGTGGAAGCTCGCATGTGCTGGCCAGGGCCCCATAGTAGTAATTGTGAAGAGAGGGGAAAATATTGTAAGAAAAATAAAGTAAGAGATATAAATGTTTTTATCATACAATGCCAATTGTATTACAGCAAGCAATATTCAACAAGATGAAAATTGTATAGAAAGGGATAGAGACAGGACACCCAGTAAGCTGCAGTCTGCCATTTATTACGCCCTTGATGGAGATCAAGTAAATATTCTAACAATGTTAGCTCAACGAAGTGAAGATCCCTGGGTAATAAATTATCAATTACCAAGTGCATTCAGATTATAACTGTTTATCAAATTTTAGAATGGAATATTTCGAAGTAGAAAGCCTTTATTACATTCTGCATGTGAAAGAGGTGCATGGAGATGCACACAATTTTTAGTTACAGTTAGAGCAGATGAAATTCACATTCTTAAAGACGAGTATTATCCAATTCACCATGCAGTACTACATGACAGTAAATTTTTAGAATTATTAATAAGTGCAGGTGCAGATACAACAGTACGGACATGTACACAGCAAATGACTCTCTTGCATGTAGGTAAGCATCACATACTTAAAGGTAGTATGCACACAAACTGTTCTAAAATGAGTAAAGTTTTTGTAATATGAAATTATGATTATAAAAGATATCTAAAGTTCTTAAGGTGGAACTGTAACTAAGCAGAAGTGGTGATATCAATTTCAAATTTAAAGAAACAAGTAAAACTACAATTGTGGAGGTTTTTGTGGATTCTTTAAATTTAAGATTGTTACCACCATTTTTACTTAAGTCTAATTGTTTAATGTTTTTTGAAGTTAATTATAAGCTGTTTTAGACATATTTGAGCTTTCTGAATAAGTAAGTAAATAATGAGTAATCACTTTTGCGAAACTAATAAACTACTGTGTGTAGTTCTTTTAGTTGCACATAAATCTGCCGAAGACACGATATCCACCATACGAATCCTGTTAGATCACGGTTGCAAAGAATTAATTAATACTCCAGACACCTTGGGTAATACCCCATTGCATGCACTAATAGTTCGTTACGCACTTGAAGAGGCGAGATACGGCTATGAAAAGTGGAATAAATGGGATGTGCTGCACCTTGTGCGATATTTGATACAATCAGGAGCACGACAATCTATAAATCACGCGGGAAATTCGGCGCTAGCGTGTGTGCTGAGGCACGTAAGGGATTGGGACACATGTTACGAGCTTCTGAACATGTTACTGCATGAAGGAGGTAACTTAAAAAGGAATCTTTTTCATCTTCACATTTTTTACATTTCCAAAATCACTCCATATAACTTCAAAAGTTTTCAATTTTATTTTATTCTTTTGCCGAGAGTTCCCCCAATATATGATTAGAGTAGTAAAGGAAATGTTAAAAGTGAATATTTTCGATGTTTAATGCTAATAAAAATGTAAATAAAATTCATGTGTGTGTATTTAATTTTATATTTACATTTCATATCATTTATTGCTTACAAAGTATTTTCTATTGCATGATGATTTAAAAAATATTTTAGGTGTTAATATTAATTAATTTACGATTGTAGGAGAACCTAATATGGTCGGTCGCGATGGATCGGTCCCAATTATGATTTGTTTAGTACCACTCATCAATAAGGACCCGCTGCATCATTTTACACACAATATGAAGGTAACTTAATTTATCAATGTGCAGGCAAAGTATTTTACTTTTCTACTAACATTTACACGTATTTACGATTCCTTTACAAACAAGTTAAAATGGACCCCATGTGGTACATTTGATTGCTTCGCGAATGTTTAATAATATCGATTTGCAATTTGGTAATAACTCCTTTCATTTTAATTTAAGTTGAAAGCTTCTAATAAAATAGTGTATGTATTTATTTAGAAGTTATGTGTTTTGGGCATAACTAATAATTAATAATCATATATTTATTTAAAAATCATATTCAATTATTTGCGTAAATAATATTGCCCTACTGACTGGGCTCACCCTAATCAACGAACAGTGGCAATCGCCAATTTCGGAGATACCAGTGACGTTGCTAGCTTCTTGTTGTCGATTTTTCGTTTGCTATGCGCACACAACTTCGGTTTCATGCGACAATTTTACTATCGACGTCCCAAAAGAAGTATAACTTCAAAAATGGAATTATTAAAGTTTTTTCATTTTGGCAGTGATCAAGTAAAATGGTGCTTATGGTCAGAGAAAAATTAGGATTTTTTCTATTAAAGAATTGACACACAGTTAGTATATTTGATGATTAGGGAAATTATTAAGTTTTTCAAGTTATTACTGTTACCACCGCAGTTAATATCATTGTTTGGTGTATTTGCAGGTTTGCTATTTAAACTGCATAAGAATACTTTTGAAGTATGGAGCGAACCCGAATTGTAGCTACAGACTTATAAACTTGACGCCGTTGCACGTTCTGGTATTTACAGTGTCGGAAAATATTACACTTAACTGTGACGTTCAAAAGCAGTTGAATTTCGAATTCATTCAGAATCTTTTAATATTGCTGCTCACCCATGGTCTCGACCCGAACGTTCGAGTTAGCAGCAGAACACAGCACATCTTGCAGTCGTGCATGGACATGATACAGAACGTTCGCGATTGCAAAGACATCCATTATGTGTACGATTTGACCCTTACACTTATTCAGTATGGTGCCAATCCCGATCTGAGTCTCAACATGTCAGAAGCAATCAATAAATACTCGTTACAACGGTCCCAATCATTATGGAAGACCAAAAATTACATCCTCTACTATTACATTATGTTGGTATCGCGGAAAGAGAACATTATCACAGATCCTAATATGTCATTCGCCAAAATAATTATGCTTTTCTACCTTGTAATGCAACATAAACCGCTATTCGAATGCCTGAAAATTTTGCACACCCAACAGCTCAGTTTGGTACCAGGGAAGACCACGGAACCCTTGACCTTTATCATTCGAGACCTGTTCAAAAGACCAAGAACTTTGAAACAGATATGTCGAGTGAAAATACACAACTGTCTGGGCCGTCGTCCGGGACTCTATATAAACAAGCTGAACCTCCCTAATCCTCTCAAAGACTACCTTTTAAATTTTGAACCATGAATTGTAAATAATTTTTGTTTAAAGTACAAAGTTACACGTATGTTAAAATTATTGTTATTATTATTATTATATTAAATAAATGAATCGTTTATAAATTAACTTTTTTATTTTTTGGTTTTCGTACCTCAAAAAAAAAAAAATGGAAAAGCAATATTTGTACATAGCTTTCAGGGAAGTTCTCAATAAATAGTAACAGAAGTACAATAATTAACAAGAGGAGGTGAAAGGCAAATCTAAAAGAATATTTAAAACAATGGAGCTTTTTAAAAGAGATGTGGGTACATAAAACTTTTACAAAAATGTAATTTGAATTTGCCTGCCAAAAAAAATTTGACAACCTTTGACACCAAAAATTATTTTGACCTCATATCTATGTTTCTTATTTATAATTATAGATTCTCTATGATTTTAACGTGTTTCCAAAGACGCAGAAAAGTAAAATCAAATTAATCGTAAAATATGGTAAAAATGATAAGTGAAACATGCATTATAACATATAAAACGGAAAGTTAATATAAATCCTTTGAAAGCTTTTGAAATGACCTATTAATACGCTGAAGTTGTACGCCATGCCATACGTAATGATTATATTGTATTGCCTTTCGTTAGTCAAGTAATAACGTTAGTACTTTATTTGCAGGATATACGATCCTACTTTAATGCAGCGGCATCTAAATCAAAGTCAGCGGTAAAGGCAAAACCAAAGATACCAATAGAAGTCTCCAGTGATGAAGATGTTATATCTGAAACACCTGCAAAAGTCAAAGTTAAATTAACCAATCTTAAAAAACGAAAAGTAATCCTTAGCGATTCTGACTCAGATCGTGAAAGTAAAAAGAACACAAAAAGGTCTAAGACAGCCAATGACAATCCTGGGATAGAGTTGAAAAAGGTAAATGTAGAAGATATATTAGGTAGTACTCCTGTTAAGCAATCTGAGGTCAAAATAAAACCAAAAAATGAGGAGGAAATTGCTGCTAATGTTTCTCAATCTAAAAAGACACCCAAGAAAAAATTAAAAACAGAAGTTGGTATTCATAATGATGAAGATTTTGAGAAGTCTCTGTTGGAACTTGATGAAGACTTCTTATTGAATAATGTTGATGAACTGGACAAAACAATTGAGTTAGAATTCAATAAAACTCAGGAGGAATTAACAACTGGAAATTTAAAGATAGACAAAGATGAGAAAGATATAAAAACACCTGGGAAAAGAAAGAAATCACCAGCTAAACGTGAGTCATATTCTCCAGAAAATACAAGGGGTATCAAAAAACTATGTTTAACATTTTGAATATTTGAATATTATTACTGTTGTCTATTGGTTAGAAAGTAACATTTAATATAAAATTATTGTAGCAAAAAAATCCCCTTTCAAAAATACCCATGTGGAAACAGATCAAGATCGGTATGACAGAAAAGTCCATTCTGCTGTCTCGTATCAAAATTATTTGCATCGAGGAGGTCCTCCACATCATGGCAGTAAAGAATTACCAAAAGTAACTAAAGTCAATGTTTCACATGTATTGTAGGTTTATGACTCTAAATTTTATTGCACAGGGTAAACCAGATTGCTTAAGAAACTTGTGCTTCCTACGAACAGGTGTTTTAGACTCATTGGAAAGCTACGAATTTGAAGAATTGATAAAAGAGCATGGAGGACGAGTTGTACATGCAGTTTCAAGTAAATACCTCTAACGGTTTGTTTCAAAGACACATCTATAATTATTATATGTTTTATAGAAAAAGTAAATTATGTTGTTATGGGTGACGTACCAGGCCCTGCAAAATTGGAGAAGGCAAGAAGTTATGGTATTCCCATCATATCAGAGGATGACCTTCTGAACTTAATTCAAATTAAGTCTGGAATGAAACCTACTTACACCACCAGTGAATCAGAAGATTTACAAAACATAGAAGAAGAAGGACAAAGTAGTACAAAGTCTCCCAAGGAAGACGGGTCTCCTAAACAGCTTAATAAAGAAAAAAGTGATTTGCCAGAGAGAAAAATAGTATTTAAAACTCTTGAAAAGGACCATTCAACTAAGGAGTCATTGATTGAAGAGGAGGTAATGAAAGAAACAACTGAAGCAGATAAATTTCCAAAGATGAAACGATGTTTAACTCCCAAAAAAGACCATTCAGATAAGGAAGGATCAAACGAAAAATTAATAAAAGAAGAAGCTTATCTGGACCAAAATGATGACCAGATTGAGTTATCTAAAGCCTCACCTGAATATGAGACATTACTATTAACAGAAAAGTATAAGCCACTAAATGCAAAAGTTGTTGTTGGCCAACAAGGAGATCATAGTAATCTAAAGAAACTTATGACATGGCTGCAAAATTGGCATACAAACAATCAACACTGTCAAAATAAATCTAGAAATGTAAAAGCTACGAGCAGGAATGAACCGGGGGCTTCTTTCAAAGCAGCCCTATTAAGCGGTCCTCCAGGCGTTGGTAATAATATATAGAAAGTAGTTTTAGAATTTTGCTAAATAACACAATTTAGGTAAAACCACCACAGCAACCTTAGTTGCGAAGGAATTGGGCTTTGATGTTGTTGAATTTAATGCATCAGATACAAGAAATAAAAAGTTGTTACATGAAGAAGTCTCCCAGTTGCTCAGTACAAAAACAATAGCTGGTTTTGTTAAAGGTAATATAAGCTAAATTAAACAAATAATTGTTATCAATTAAGTTAATTTGGAATGTAAAGGTCATAACCGGGTAAACATAGATGAAATGCTTAGGGAGCTACAGATCATAAGAAATAAAAATGAGACCTATGAGGTAAATGATAAAATAACTTTATGTTGATCATTATTATTTTTTTGTAGATGGTTCTCAGCCAACATCAAAAAGAGTACTGTTAATGGACGAAGTGGATGGAATGGCCGGCAATGAGGACAGGGGAGGAATACAAGAACTCGTAAATTTGATTAAAAACACCCATATCCCTATAATTTGCATGTGTAATGACCGCAACCACCAAAAAATTCGATCTTTGGCCAATTATTGCTTCGACCTGAGATTCCATAGACCCAGATTGGAACAAATAAGGGTAAAAAATTCAATAAAAATAGTTTTATTGTAATATACGATTTGTTTTAGGCATTTCTTATGACAGTGTGCTTTAGAGAAAACTTAAATGTTTCCCCAAATGCTTTGAATGAAATAATAACTGGGGCTGGAATGGATATAAGACAGTGTCTGAATAATTTGGCAATGTGGGTTGCAGGAGAAAAAAGTTTGTCAGTAGAAATAGCAAAAAAAGAAGCAACCCTTGCCAAAAAAGACACGATTTTGGGTCCATGGGATGTTTGTAAAAAAATATTTAATAAAAGAGATCATGAAATGATGTCAGTTACAGAGAGAGGCAGATTATTTTTTTACGACTATAGTATGGCGCCTCTTTTTGTACAAGAAAATTACCTTCAAATAGTTCCACTTAACCTAAGGTACAAACTAATCAAATTGCTAGACTTTTTTGCTGTGGCGTTTATTTGTTTGAGTATTGTTTCCAAAAATTATGTATGTCTATGTTTTATTTAAATATTCAGGAAAAGGTGGATACTAAGGGCGTCAAAAACAGCAGATTCGTTAAGTTTTGCGGATCTTCTTGACAAGAAAATTAGAAGTGATAACAACTGGTCACTACTTGAAGTAGAGTCGATGTTTGTTGCTGTCATTCCAGGTACTTATATGGGAGGACAATTAGGGGCTCAAATAAATTTTCCGAGTTGGCTAGGAAAAAATTCCAAACGAAATAAATTTCAAAGAATTGCAACTGAAATCCAAGCGCATATGCGGACAAGGTTTTATTACTTTAAATGCTTCGAAGCAATTATATAACAGTTTATTTTTTTTTTTACTTTTTAGTACATCTGCTTCTCGTTTGTCTTTTAATTTGGATTATGCTTCCCACTTAAGGAATAGAATCCTTGAACCACTGATAAAAAAGGGGATGGATGGTATTCAGGAAGCAATAGACATCATGCATGCTTATAAGCTTTCGAGGGATGATTTGGATGGAATTTTGGAATTGGCTCATTGGCATGGAAGTACAGACCCTTCAAACCAGTTGAACTCAAAAGTAAATCTGACCAATAAAATATCATTTTATTGAATACTTGAGATCACTAAGTTTATATATATAGCTCTAAGAGAATATATGATTACTTTTTTATAGGTGAAAGCCGCTTTTACAAGGCAATTTAAAAAGGAAGGTGTTGTACTTCCTTATGCTGCAACTTCTGCAAGTGTTAAAAAAAGGGGAGTAGCATATTCTGAAGATTTACTGAATGGTGAGGACGAATTTGTGGAAGATGATGACGATGAAGGCGAAGATGATGTTACTAAGGATTCAAATATTAAAGTAAGATTATTGGGTAATGACGGGTGAAGGGGCAAGGATAAGTTTGCGGGGTGGGGGAAGTAAAAAAGGGGTAAGAGGATGGCTTTTTCAAATACTAAATAAGTATTTGTAAGTAGGGGCTGAGACGTGAAGTCGCAAGATATGAAAGTAAAAATTGAAAATGATAATCCATCCCTATGGTCCAACCTAAAGACACTTTGGTTGTCTACAAGATCATCCCCTTCATATACACAATTGTGATTTTCAATTATCATTTCCAACTTTTGCGCGTTACGATTCCTCCCACTTACAAATACTTGTTACAAGGCTTTCATACCCCTTCACCTCTTCCCACCACCAATTCGAGAGGAGGATCTATAATCTCTTCAACTAACCATATTTCTCAATTTTTTCCAAATGGAATTTGAAAAATTGTTTTATTTTGTTATAGGTGAAGAAGGCGACCCAAAAAGTTGTTAAAAAGAAAGATGAAGCATCAAGCAGCGGCACTAGCAAGGGCGGTGGAAAAGGGAAAAAGAAAAAATGAGGGGGAAAAATGAAAAATTTTGTTACTAATATTATCTTTACGATTTTGCATGATTGTTGTTACTATTGTAACGTTACTATTCTTTATTAATTATTAAGCATTACTTTTGTATTTTTTGTCATAATCATTATACTTATTACATCACTTAATATACTATCTTTTTTACATTTTCGAGTCTTATTGATTAACAAGCAGCTGTAACTGTTGTAAAAGTTTGATCAATATTATGTGTAATAAAATGCAGCCCAATATAAAAAGAAATATTAATGTGGTGACACAATTTAAACAAATAAGCCAGTAAAAAAATACGTAAAGAAGTAAATTAATAAATTTATAGGAGTATAAATTAACTCATAATTAGGCAAATAAATATATACGTAAATAGGCAAACAGTTAAAATAAAGGTAACTTAATAAACAAATAAGCAATAAACACATAAAGGAAAATGGGAAATACTGAAAGCAATGTTACTAGTGGAGTTAAAAAGCAAGCTGGAGCTTCTATGCAAGCTATTTATAAACTATGTGACTTAAAAGGTAAGACTAAATGTGATTTAAAATTTTAATAAGCAAAATTTGCTAAATAAAAATATTGACCATAATTTCTTGACCCGGATCGCTTACATGCCAGAATTAATTATAAATTAATTAATTTTTTACCAGCTTTTTTGTTCTGTGTACATCTGTGGTACAGTATCTTTCGAATAATATTTTCTATTTTTTACTTTCAAATACTGAAAAAAAAAACACGTAGAATAAATTTAGACGTTCACGCACGATATTTAATATTGTAATTTACTTATTGGTTATTACATATCAAGAGGGAATCCAACATTTTGAGAAAATTCTAGATCACAAAAGATTTTGCCCTATTTGTGGATAATTTTTTATTTCCGATCCTGAGAAGAATAAACATTTATCTAAGAATTACGCTAAATGAGCCTTAATGATGGTCTTGCTTCCTTGAAAATTCATAATCGTATTGGTTTGAGTGAATACGAAATCTGTCAACAAGTGATAGTGGAGACAAAAAGNTGAATTAATTTTCAGTAAAAGTTCGACGGTATTCAAGTAAATTGTCAGGCCTAGGCACTTTCAGATCTAGGAGATTAAAACTGTAAATGAAGAATCTATTTTGCATAATATTCTAAAATACTTGTGCTATCGTGCGTGCTCTAGAATTTACGAGTAGCTAATAAGGTTCTCTTGATTTTAGGTATTATATTATTCTTGTTTAGAAGGTACCTTCTTCCTAGGTTTTGAAATATGAAGTTTTAAAATGATACATAGAAAAGGAAAAATATAATAGCTGCTCACATACTCTAAAGTACCTACGTATTAATTTAATAAAATTAATGTGACTATTGTGATGCATCATATAACCAACATTGACTTCAGTTTCATTTAATTTTAGCACAAAAAATAAAAAGTACTGTAAAATGTGAATAAAGATCAACAAGCTAATTGTAAAAAAATATATTCTTTAAAATCTGTTTTGTGTTACAACTTCAACAATAAGTGCATAAAGCAGATTTTTACCCACGTGCTGTCTTATTCTGTACGAGGACGAGAAAAAACTGTGTTCTAGGCGTATGAGAAATGATCTAACACTGATGTAGTAGAATTTATTAGGTAACTTGTAATACTTCCAATTTTGGCATGTTTTTTTAAAAGTTCAATTTAATTTGTAATATCAACTAAAATACCTAGTAAATTTATTTCTGCTGGGATTTTATTTGTACACATTCGGGTCCAAATTGTAATTTTTATTATTTTCGCTTACAAAGCAACGGATTAGTGGGATAAATTGTAAATATCGCTTTAATATTTAGGTAAATTTTGTTTTTGCATTTTCTCCGTGTTCCTGTGCTTTTATAAGTTCCACCACTGTGGACAAAAATATTTCGCTCATTGAAATTTGAAAATTGCTTTGAAAGAAGTCCAAATTATTAGTCATTTCCTTCAATTTTGCAAAAACGCATTTTATATTATGCAAATAAAAATTGGCTGGAACCCATCGGCCGATGTTAGACGTTTGCAGCCCCATGCAAAACTTTCTTTGGGGGTCTCTATAATTAATTAACCATAAGATAAAGAATAAAGTATAACTTTTATCACAAGCGAAAGACCCGGTACTTTCAATTGAAACAAAAGAATAGACACAAAATTTGATCAAAGTACATAGGTTAATGGATTTTAATATTTGTAATTAAGAATTAATCAATTAACATGGTTCGAATAATCTATATATTGCTTATTTCTCTTTCTTTAGGCGGTGGATTGCTTGTTGAGTTGATGAAAAGAGCAACACAAAATAAGCAATTCGCTGAAATAGATCATGCTATTAAAACAAAGGTAGGCTTGACTAAAAAAATTTAAAGTTTTATTAAGTAATATAGATTTTTACCGTTTTAAAGGTTGAACCATTTTTATATAACAGAGGAAAGGGAAAATATATTCCAATATCGCAACTTGTCTTACTTCGAAATAAAGAAAGGCCCCGACACAAACTGGTAAATGTTTTTGCCAAATTTTACGCATATGGTTTTGTACTAAAATACTAAATATGAAAATATTTACAGCTACCGCCTTTAAAGGCGATGGAAAATCCAGATGATTTTGAAATTGATGAAAACGCACCTGATGTAACTGAGGAAGAATATCAAAAAAGTAAGGATTTATTATATACCCAAATTACATTGTTTTAATAAGCAAGATATACTATGTTACGGCTAATGGAGACAAAAAAGGATTACATTTTACCTGTAACCAAGTTGATACGCATAGCCGTTAAGCCAGATATCCACTTGTAACAAATTATCCCCAACGTAACACCGGACATGTTACGGTTAATGGAGACAAAAAACTATTGCGTTTATCCGTAATGAACATGATACGCGCAAACATTAAGCTGGATATCCACTTGTAACAAATTATTCCTAACGTAACAGTAAACATATTATGTTACGGTTAATGTAGACAAAGAACTGTTGGATTTTACCCGTAATGAAATTGATACGCGTAGTCGTTAAGCCGGACATCCACTCGTAACAAATTATCCCTAACGTAACACCGGACATGTTATGTTATGGTTAATGGAGACAAAGGACTGTTGCATTTTACCCGTAACCAAGTTGATATGCCTAGTCTTTAAGCCGTATATCTACTTGTAACAAATTATCCTCAACGTAACAGCGGATATGTTATGTTATGGTTAATGGAGACAAAAAACTGTTACGTTTTACCCGTAACCAAGATGATACGCGTAGCCGTTAAGCCGGACATCCACTCGTAACAAATTATCCCTAACGTAACACCGGACATGTTATGTTATGGTTAATAGAGACAAAGGACTGTTGCATTTTACCCGTAACCAAGTTGATACGCGTAGTCGTTAATCCGGATATCCAGTTGTAACAAATTATCTCTAACATAACAGAAAACATATTGTGTTACGGTTAATGGAGGCAAATAACTGTTCCATTTTACCCGTTACCAAGTTGATACGCGTAGCCGTTAAGCCGGATATCCACTCGTAACAAATTATCCCTAACGTAACAGCGAACACATTTTTTTACGGCTAATGAAAGCAAACTTTAACATTTTACTCGTAAAAAAGTTGTTACGCGTAGCAGTTAAGCCGGTTATCCACTTATAACAAATGATGCGTAACATAATAACAATTTTAGATCCCTCAGCTTATAGACATACCTGTTGGAAGTTGAAGGAAAGGGGAGCTGTAGGTGAAACAATTTTGCATCTATGTTTACTTAATGCAACTTCTCTTCATGCTGATATTGCAAAGAGACTGCTCAAGTTTTATCCCAAATTGATAAATGACATTTATATGAGTGACGAATATTATGGTACGTAAAAACATATCAGATGGATCTTTAAGCATTTATTCATTAAAATGTTAAATTCCTAATTGGTTTTTTATTAAGGAGAAAATGTTTTACATATTGCAATTGTAAACGAAGATCCGGCGATGGTGAAATTTCTGTTAGAATCGGGAGCAAACTATCAAGAGCGATGTATTGGTAGTTTTATGTCTCCAGAAGATCAAAAATCTTCTAGAACTGACTCTCTAGATCACGAATGGGTCAATGTGAATCCAATGACAAATTATAAGGGGTAATAGTAATCTGTATATTTTAAGTATGGTACTAGGTCAGATATTTCTACAGTTTATAGAATTGACCAATTTAGAAGTCCTCTTATTGGGACATACTATATTCTATTGAAAGAATTAAATGTTTGAGAATTGGAATTTTGATGGTAAATAATTCAGTGAAATAGGTTTGAAAATTTAAAGTGTTACTTTGTAACCCTGATTTCTTAGTTGATGCTTCCTACATTTGAAACTGCGAAAGCTCGCTGTAGATATCGATGTAAATAAAGCAGCATGATTAGTTCTATCTAATTTATATCCAAAATATTTCTGTTTAATATTGTATAGGTATCTATTAATTTAAATTAAAAAAAAAAACAGAAGCCTTAATATTGTTATGAATTAATGCCGCGGACGATCGATACGGTACTACTTTTGACGCCGTCTCAAAACTCGGCCACGGAACAGGAACTTACGGGAAGCTTCCGGAAATCTTCGGAAACATTCATAACAGTATAAATAAGCAGCCAGCCTCAGACGAGATATATACGATAATAGATTTTATATTATAAACATTGCACTGTTAGTTTCAATCCAATTCGTAACTGTATTTAATTGAATTCTCATTTGAAAACAGCCGTCTACATTTCACAATTTAAGAAATCTTTTATAAAATATGTTTATAGTTATGTGTATTGGGGAGAATACCCCTTAACTTTCGCTGCTTGTCTTGGATTAGAAGAATGTTTTCGTTTAATACTGGCGAAAGGAGCAAATCCTGATGCTCAAGATACCAATGGAAATACATGTTTGCATTTGCTTGTAATTTACAATAAAATGGTAGGTACCTTATAAAACTTTAGATCAGTTAAAGCTCATTTAAAAAGTATTTGCCCAATTTAATTATTATTTGCACAATAATACTATAGTTAAACAACGAAGGACTATAAATCAAACTTACTGGAATATATTTTTATAATTCAAGGAAATGTTTGACAACGCTTACGAAGTAGGAGCAAGACTTAGCATAAGAAATGTCTTACATCTGACGCCATTGACACTGGCAGCAAAAATTGCCCAAGTAGAGATGTTTTTTCATATACTTAATTTAGAAAGAGAAATTTATTGGCAGATAGGTGAGTCTACTATTAAATAACACACATCTAGGAATTAATATCTATACCTACTAAATGATAATAAAAGTAAAACACAAAGAAAAATTAAGAACATTAAGTTCTTCGTCAGTAATATATTTAAACTACTGGGCGTGGATATTGATTTCGAACTTATTGGTTCTCATCAGCACGCCAGGCAGTTGTTCCAGAAAAAGAATATGATATAATATTTTGTAACTATGCATATTGGTCGTTGTGAGATTGTTAATTAAAATGAAATAGTTGAGTGTAATCTTTCACTGTCGGCGATAATTTTATGGGATGTGAATAGTCTTCCGGAAAATCCAAACAGACTATCGCTCCCATAACATAAAAATACGAAATTAGTTTTTATCTATTAAATCAAGATTTTCGGGAAAGTAAAATAAAGATTAAGATCTGAATTTGAAAAATTTTCCTCTAGAAAATGCATAAGGGAAAAATTAAAATGAAAACATATACAGTGTAAACTCTAAATAACGACACTTAAGGGACTGAACATTTTTCGGCGTTATAAAGAGTGGTCGTCGCGAGAAATAAAAGATATTATTTTACTATTCTATCATAATATGCATTTACCAATATAGTACACATTTTACACGCGAACATTATTATTCATACATTACGTATAGCCTGTTATCTTCGTCTGATGTTTTTTGCTGCTCCAATATTTTAATCGTATTTTGTTACGTATCTTACTCATATCTTGAGATACTGCTGGATCAATTTGATTATATAAAAAGTATTTTTTTAATAGTTTCGCTGCATCAAGTGCTTGTTTGATGCTTGGTGGAGGGACAGGATCGTCTTCTTCAAGAACGTACACAGCTGCAGTTCTTATCTATTTCGGCAACTTAGAAAGTACTGCTCAATGATTTATAATGCCGCATTGTTGTCGTTAAAAAGAACGAGCGTGACGCTATAAAGAGTGTAATATTGTATAGAAAACATTGTAAATCAACCAGTCAAGCAATTTCGACGTTTTAAGGAGTTTGTCGTTAAATCGAGTGACGTTATAAAGAGTTTACACTATATTAATAAAACATTGTGGCGAATTAGTTATTATCATCTTTCGGTTACCCATAGAAAATTACTAAAATAGTTTCGACTTGTACTTTTTAAAATACACCTACATAGTTGGAATGACAGGGTCTTAACTCGATCTTTTATTTTAGGAAGCATTACATGTGCTGCATATCCCTTGGGAGAAATCGATACCATTGACATTAAAACAGGACAAATTATCAAAACGTCCGTTTTGAATTTAGTCGTGTTTGGGGTAAATTGAATTATTAAAAATAGTTACTTTTAGGCGAGTATAATTTCTCTTAAAGAATGGTTTTATAACAGTCAAAATTTTTAATTTGTTGCACTACTAAAGTAATTATTTTAATTCGTTTAAATACAATTACCTATATTGGGATTATAAAACCATTTATCTACAGGGTGTAGTAATTCTTTTAAACTCTTCTTGAACTATTTTTCTAAAGCTGCTTCACTGATTACTTTGTTGCTAATCATGTACATATGTAATTGCTTACAGGATAAAGATGAACATTTGGAACTAATGGACGGTGTTGTTATAGATTTGTTAAACGCCAAATGGAATACGTTTGTCAAAAACAAATTTTATCGTCAATTTTTTACGTTCTTATTCTATTTTTTGGTTTCACTGGTTTGTTTTACGTTAAGACCTGGTCCTGATATATCAGAAAGCGCAGAAACTACTACTTTACCAAACAATTCCACAAACTTATTGGATCATACAAATAACGTGTTAAATACTTCCACCAATGGAACTTATAACCCAACGTTAATTTTCAATTCAACTTTTTATCCTTTAAATGGATCTGATTACAGTTTGTCTGACGATGGATGGCCTTTATCGGACACAGAAAATGTTGAGGATAGTTGGAATATTAGTACTAACTTTACTGATATTATAAAGTCATTTACTACGACAAATAATTTATCCCAATTAGCAAATTTTACCCCTAAATCAGAGAGAATAACTATAATTCCTCCACCAAAGTGTAAGTACAATCACTAAATTATTTTTTGTTTTATTAGGAACTTTATAGTAAGGATTTCCACTTTGTGACATTCAATAATTAATTTTCACTAGATCACTGTTATGTTGATAATGATAGAGAACTACAAAGTAAATTTGGAAATACAAGTGTAACAATAATTTTTTCAGAAACCAATACAATTGTTAAATATTTAGGGGGAGGTTAAAAATAAAAACGCTTTTCATATTTACCCCTTCATATTTCTTCCCCCAATGTTTAATTTCAACGGGATTAATCAAGCAATTTAAGAGTGATGGAAATATTTTATTTATTATGTAATCGCGCGCGTTTTTAATTTAATAACTTATTAATTAATTTATTCTTTTAATTGTGAATATTATTTTTAATTACACTATATATACTTTCTGCAACTCCGAGATGCTTTATAATCTGCCCTGAAGAAGCTTTAAAACCATAAATCAAAACATCGGTGTGATTATATAATAAATAACTTCATATTTACCATTTCTTCCCCTCTTAAAATTATTTGTTAAAAACAGTAGTACTGAAAAACATCGACTAAGTTTTTCGAAGAATAAACGTTTACAACCCTTACTTATTGCAGCTCTATTTCTAACAAAAAGGCTTCTGTTTTATTAACTGATTTATATGGTTTCCTTCCTATAAACATTTTCTAAGGGAGAAACATTTTAAGTCTATAAAAAATTGACATACCTACATTTATCAATTTTTACAATTTTGGAGTTTGTACTTTTTAGTAAATCTCTCAAATATCAATTACACGAAACCCGAAATGAAACAATTGAAACAGTTAAAAATGTGGTGGTCAACTATTACTGAAGAATGCCGCTTAATGAACACCGATACGTTGGAGTCTCAAATAAGATTAATTGCCGAAGCTGTGATGCTTTTTTCGGCGTTTCTCTATTTGGTCGCAGCAATAAGAGAAGCTCGATTTTTAGGAGGGAGAATGTTCTTTGAAAATTTGGTGAGTGTGTGAAAAATATCAACTGTGTCTGCTCAAAAAGTATAAACAAACCAGTAACAAACGTTATCTGTCTGTTAAGATGACTGCACCTTCAAGAGTAATGTTTTTGTTTTCGTGCATTCTTATGCAAATTATTCTACCCCTGCGGCTTTCATGTCAAGATGAGGCAGAAGATGTGGTTGCAGTTGTGATTATGTTAACTACAGCCCCGTACTTCTTATTCTTTTGCAGGTATGTACAATGTACCATTATAAAAAAATTTAATTTTGAAGATACCTAAATATCTTTATGAACCTCTCAGCATCGTCATGGTTATAGTTAGATGATAGATGATTTGACCGTTGTTGAACATGCGGTAATAATTAGTAGAAGAAGAAGTGGCTGATTTTAGGTATCTAGGAAGTCAGATAAGTCAGAACGGAAGGAGTAGTAAGGATATAAAGTAGAGGATAGTACAGGCTTGAGTCGTCGTCATTAAAAAGAAGTCATTTCTATGTACGCGAACGATTAATTTAGAAATTCGAAAAAGATTGTTAAAGGTGTGTATTTGAAGTGCGGCGCTGTACGGGTGCGAAACATGGACGGTGGGCGCGACGGAAAAGAAAAGGTGAGAAGCGTTCGAAATGTTGTGTTACAGGCGAATGATGAGGATGTCGTGGATAGAGGAGGTTAGAAATGAAGAGGCATTTGAAAGAATAGGAGAACAGAGGACTCTAAGGAAATCAATAAAAAATAGGCGAGATAGGTTGGTAGGACACCTTCTCAGGTATGAAGGTCTAGTCAGAGACATGTTAGAGGCAGAAACAGGAGTTAAAAGGGGTAGAGGTACACCTAGATTAGATTACTATTCGCAATAGTTAATGATGTGGTAAGGTGTAGTTTTAGGGAAATGCGAAGATAGGAAGGAGTACAGGTGCGTAATCAACCAGTCTTAGGACTGACGACCTTATGATGTTGAAGAGTAGAAATGTAAAAGCACATTATAAGGAACACGAAACTTCAGATACGATTTAGAATAAGTTCTGGTAGAAATATGACTAATTATCATCTAAATAGTATTCATTAATTAATTTTGTAATCACGTTGTGCATACATACTACACAAAAAAACTCATTAGATTATAAAAAATATACATATACCTTTGGAATACTGTTTTCAATTTCATCCCATTCAGTTCAATCAAACATTTATTGCTGCCAAACGGAACGTTTTAAAGCCTTTCTTCTATATATACCTACATGTGTTAGGGTTAATATGCTTATTTGGCTAATTGGTAAACCAACTGGACATTAGGTAGTATACAAACTGTCCAATTTCTAATTTAAAAAATGTTTATAAGATTGTATCTAAGGTTACAGTAGCAGAAGGGAAAAAATTCATCGTTGATGTAGTCTTGTTCTAATCTTATAAATTTCTTGTTGATGTGATATGTATAATAGTTGATGTGAATGTCTAAGTAATGAATACTCCTTAATTATAAAATAAATTACATTACAAGAAGGTTTTGATGCCAAATTTTTACGATGAAAGTTTAATTTATCACAATATCTTGTTGAAATTATGACTAGGTACTGTTAGAAGTACCAACCTATTAAAGACTCGTCCACAAAAAATATCATGAATAAATTAAATTCTTTGCAGAGGTTTTAAAACAGTTGGACCTTTCGTTGTAATGATTTACAGGATGGTAATGGGTGACCTTTTACGATTTGCAACTATTTATATGGTGTTTGTTATGGGGTTTTCACAAGGTATTATTTAAGATCAGATTTGGAATTGAATGCTATAACGTTAAATAAAGCAAATACTAAAGTTTCACTTCTAGCATTAAAAAATAATATTTGCAGCTTTCTATATAATATTTTTATCGTACGATAATCCTTTAACACCTGATGAAGTCGACGATTCTGCGTCAAATCCTATGTCAAGTCCTGCGGAGTCGGTTATGGCGATGTTTTTAATGTCTATGACCAACTTTGGAGATTATTATACAGCTTTTGAAAAAACCCAACACGAATACGTTGCAAAAGTAAGTTATATTATCAAAAACGGACAGACAGACANACTAACTTAACATTGTAGTTGAAAAAAAATCTTTTTCCATACATTCAAGCTGCAAATAAAAATTTGTATGCACAACATTATCTTGTTGAATGATTTATCACATTATGTCCACACCATGGACTTCTTATTAATTTTTCTGTAATCTATAAGTAAGAAACTATTTTTTGTATTTTTTTTCAAAATTTTAGGTTCAGAAGTTTGGAGATAAGGCGAGAATGAGCAATTTTAATCTATTTTCTTAAATAACGTTATTTTAATATTATAAAAAATATATATATTTGAGATCCTTACAACAAGTCCTTTCATTTGATATGTCACATAGTATAGTTTGCAAAACTTTTTTTAACTTGCTATTAGCCCCCCAAAAACGGCCCCCATATTCAAAATTAATTTATTTACGTTATGGTCAGAGCAAACCGACTGTGATAGATAAACCGACAGACACACGAGTGATCGTATAAGGGTTCCGTTTTTCATTCGGAAGTACGGAACCCTGAAAGTGACTACAGAAGATGTAGTGATTGGTGAACGCCATCTGTAGCAATTTGCTACTACTTGTGACTTCATTTTTGATTGAAAAGGACTTTTTACAATTAAGGATATCAACTCGTTGTTCGACTCGCGTTTTACTAAACTTGTTTATTCTATACTTATTTGGTGTTTGAAATTTTCATAAGTTTGCTTTTAGTTGTTATTCGTTATGTATATGGCGATTGTGGCGATACTGCTTATCAATATGTTGATTGCTATGATGGGTAATACCTACCAAAAAATAGCCGAAACTAGAAACGAATGGCAACGTCAGGTATGATAACGAATATCAGAATAGAAGAAGTCATTTTTACTGTATGAAATATTGTTTTTTAGTGGGCAAGAATAGTTCTTGTTGTTGAAAGAGGTGTAAGTCCTGCTGAACGACTTAAACAGCTCATGGTATACTCTCAGCCTATGTCAGACGGAAAGAGAGCTTTAGTTCTTAGATTGAATCAAAGCGTACGTTTTCTTAAATTTATCTGTTTTTTAGTTCAACTAATAAATAGTAAAATAGGAGAAGCATTAGTTAATAGAATGAATTATCCTTTTTTTGCCAGGACTCCGCAGTTTTTGATAGGAAAGTGGGTTTCGGTTGATTGTAATAAAACTGAAGAAAATGTTCTTTGATCGTAAGTCGCAAAAATTTCTAGTTTTCGTTTTACGGTAGTTTGAGCTTACCTAACTTAACTACCATTCTGTATAAGTTTTAGTATGTTGTAGGTTGTTATGCATTGTTACTGTCAAGAAGGAGGGAATTATTTATCTAGCTTAAACCCTTAAACCATCACCGAATTTAATCTGAACAAGAAGCTTTTATTGTTTCTTGACCTATTTAAACTTCGTGCAAAGGCATCTTAAAATTAAATGATATCCAGCAAATCCGAACTTAACTTCATAGATTAAAGCTTAACTCCTTGCTTTATTTTGTATTTATGTTAGTCATGAACATTCACATTGACATATACATGTGTTCGCGCCTTATGTACATAAACACACATACATAGACTTTTAAGATTATGATGGGAACTTTAATTTTAGGTAAGTCAAAACTTTAAGGTTTTTAGTACTTGTGGCGCTTGTACTTTCGATCAAGATGATTCAAAAAATATTTTCTTAACTTTTAATTATAATCGACCGAAACCCACACCCTTTTTTCTATCAAAAATTGAAAGGTCCTTTTAGGAGTAGATACATAAATAGATCAAGATGATTCAAAAAATATTTTCTTAACTTTTAATTATAATCGACCGAAACCCACACCCTTTTTTCTATCAAAAATTGAAAGGTCCTTTTAAGAAGCAACGGAAGTTACGCACGAAGCTGAAAAGATACATAAATAGGTCTAACTTCCACGCGTGTGTACGCTATACAAGTATACACGTCTTCCTTTTTATAATTAACTAGCGACCCGCCCCAGCTTCGCAGGGGTGGAATGCTGATACTAAATGTATTTTTGTTTTGTTTATATTATTATTACATTCACAGTTTTTTTTGTCATTAGACAATACAAACCGGCCGGTACCGCTGCAACCGTTATGCCCCTGCAGTTTAAATCTGTAATATCTTCAAAAATATTCATTTAAATTACATGCTGTAAAGGGCCATATTGATCTATATTAAATGCACAATGTATTTAAGGTACTTAATTGGATAAGAATTAATGCTGTATTGCTTACAATCGCTTCGTAAATAAGCCATTATTTCTCATAAAAAGTAAAGAATAAAAATGGTTATTGTGGGTTATCCCTAAGAGATAGACATATACC